GTTCTAGCAATTTGAAACAGAATTTTGGAACCCCTGGCATCATCCTCACAAGTTTTAATAGAAAGCAGGGGAAACAAGCCAGCAGGGAGTCAGCAACTTGAGCCCCCTACAAATCTCTATGTACTATTTTCTTTTTTAAAAATATTTATTTTTGCATACTGATTGGGAAAGAGGCCAGAGGCACAGGGGCAGTGAGAGGATTCACCAGAGACAGAGTGGGAAACAACAGAACAGGTCGACTGACCAGGTACACTGCTGAGGGGAGCAGCGGGCGGGTCAGGAGAGGTATGCCACACCATGTGGTCACCTCTGGTGGCTGGGGATGGAACTTGCACTGAGGTGGCTGAGGCTAGCTTGCAGTGCTGTGCCTAACCCATTGCACCACCAGAAAGGGCCCTCTATGTGCTATTTTCTCTGGGCTTATGCTCGCCTTCTCTCATGGTATCTGCCTCTCTTAGCCATTGCTGGTTCTCTTGTAGACATTCCACTGTACCTGTCTTTGAGTGAGGCTGCCCTTATAGCCTTGACCGCTGGCTCACATGTGCACACTTGTACACTTGTACACACCCATGGTCAGGTGTCCATAGTCAGGCACATGTGCTGTGCACCCACAAGCCCTCTATGTTAACAAGGTCAAGGATGCAGGTGATAGCCACAGAGGCCAATGGTGTAAAATCCCGACCAACTTCATTTATGCTACACCAGCATTTGCAGCTAGAAAAGGTCAAGTTTGAATTTTTTTTTTTAGATCTTTAAATAATAAAATATTTTCTCTTCCTGCAAATACAGTTCAAACATAATTTATGGAAATCTTTCCTGACCTTCTATTTAGATTTCTATATCCTTCATCTCCTTTGGTACATGCTAATCTTTGTTATTCTACCTTGTAATTGTCCTATTTCTCCCCTAAATTATAAATTATTTAGGAACAGTGTATTGTCTTACTCATTTTTGTATATTCTTTTTCTAAAATGCCTAAATAGAACATGCTAGTAAGTTTTTATATTAAAAAAAATAGGGCCCTTCCTGGTGGCACAACAGGTTAAAGCACAGCACTGTGAAGCTATCCGAAGCCACTGCAGCACAAGTTCAATTCCTGGCCAGGGAGGTGACCCACATGGTGTGACAGACCTCTCCTGGCCCACCCGCTGCTCCCTTCAGCAGTGTACTTTGTCGATCTGCCTGTTCTGCTCCCCACTCTGTCCCTGGTGAATCCTCTCGCCCTCCATATCTCTGGCCTATACCCCCAGTTCTGTATGAATAAATTAAAAAAATATCCTGAATCATACCCAAAGTGTTCTATGATACTTAAAAATTCTAAATCCCACTTCTTGTATGAATAAATAAACAAATCTTTAAAAAAATTCTAAATTAGTAGGGGCCTCTTGGCAGCCTAAGAGTTAAGTCTCAGAGCTATCATTGCTACTCCCTATATTCTATCTCTGGCCAGGAGCTAAGCCACTACTCCCCTCAGCAATATGTTTCAGTACATCTGCCTGTTCTGCTCCCCACTCTGTCCCTTGTGAGATGTGTGTCCAGATCTTTTATCCATTTTTAAAATTGGATCTTTGTTTTCTTTTTGAGTTGTAAGAGTTCTCTTTGTACATTTTGGCTATCAGTCTTTTGTCAGATTTGTTTTGCAAGGATTTTCCCCTACTCTGGTGACTTCACTCTCTTAAAAGTGTCTTTTGTAGAGCAGAAGTTTTTAACTATAAGGGAACTCTAAGTTATCATTCTTTTGCTTTCATCGATTGTTTTTTTGTGTTGTATCTAAAAAGTCATCGCCAAACCCAAGGTCACCTAGGTTTTCTACTATTTTATCTTATAAGTGGAGTTTTATAGCTTTGTGTTTTAAATTTATATCTGTGATATATTTTGAGTCAACTTTTGTGTAAGGTGTATTGTCTATGTCTAGATTCATTTTCTTTGCATGTGGATGTGTAGTTTCCCAGAGCCATTTATTGAAGAGGCTGTTTGTTTCCCCCACTGGGTTACTTTTGCTTTTTTGTCAGACACCAGTTATTCTATATATGTGGTACTATTTCTGTGCACTCTATTCTGCTTCAGAATAGACTAATAGACCCTCAAGTAATAGATCATTTGTCTATTTACTAGTAACATACTGTCTTAATTTTAAAATTACATTCAATTTTTTGGAACAGGAAATACACTGATATGGTACAAAATATAAAAGGTTCAAAGTATATAACGAAATACAGTAGTTTCCTCCTGTCCTAGTTCCCCAGCTACCAGATTACATTTCCAAGGTAAACCCTTTCATAAAGTGTAATTTTTTATTCTTTTAGAGTACTTTACTTCCTCTTCTCTCCTTCTTCTCCTTTTCTCTTTCTCATCCTCCTCTACCACTTCTTTCCTCCTCCTCTATTTTCCCTCTGCTCACCCTTCTTCCCTTCCCTTTGCTTCCTCCCTCCTTGCCCAACATAAATATTGAAATACTATGCTCATGTTATGTAACTTGATTTCCCCTTATTTAACAACAATATAACCAGGAAAATATCTCATATTTGCACATCTAGTCCTGCCCTTTAAAATTTTTTATTATGGTAAAAAATACATAACATTGAAATAGCCATTTCAAGTGTCCAGTGCAGCAGTGTTAAGTATATTCACATTGTTGTGCAACAGATCTTAGAACTATTTAGTCTTGCAAAACTGAAACTCTATGCACATTAAACAATTATGTCCCTCTCCCCTCCCCAAGACCTTGTCTCTTTTCTACTTTCAGTTTCTATGATTTTGACTACTATGCACATTTCATATGAGTGGCATCATATATATTTACATTTTTGTTGACTCACTTATTTTATATATCATAATATCCTCAAGGTTTATACATCCATGTCGAATGAATTTATTCATTCCTAAGGGTGTATAATATTGCACTGTGTGTATGTATGTATATATATATCACATTTTCTGTATTCATTCATATTTTGATGGACCCTTCGATTTCTACCTATTGGCTATTGAGAAAAACACTACAATGAAGATCTTTGCAAATGTCTTCAAGAACTTGCTTTCAATACTTTTTCATATTGACACAGAAATGGAATTGTTGGCCTATACAGTAATTCTATTTTTAATTAACACTTTTTGTATAGCCAAAAGGGCAAGTTTGTTATAAAAAAGGAGAAAAGAATAAAGGACACTTGCACAGACATAAGCAGACAGAAAAAACTGCCCCTGAAAGAGACAGGTTTGCAAAGAGAAATACCTGTTTAATCACAGGCAGGCTTAAGGGCCTAACTTTAAATTTTTCAAAAATATATTTTATTTTTTAATTGAAATAACTTTGCATTATAACATTACATAAGTTTTGAGTATGCACCATTACACACCAATGTGTCAATTTACAGCATTATATCTTTAACTTTTTGAGGAAAGTCATACTGTTTTTCATAGTATGTGTACCATTTTGTTCCCACCAACATGGTGGGAAATGTTCCAAATTCTTCACATCCTCACCAACATATTTTTTTCTGTTATTTTGGTAGTGACCCAATGGATGTGAGGTGATATATTACTGTGATTTTTGACTTGACTATCTCTTATGATTAGTGGCACTAAGCGACTTTTGATATGTTTGTTAGAATATCTTCTTTGGATAATTATCTGTGTTCTTTGCCCATTTAAAAAAATATTTATTTTTATTTATGTATACAGAACTGGGGTACAAGCCTGAGGTGCAGAGACAGTGACAGATTTCATCAGAGACAGAGTGGGGAGCAGAACAGGCAGATCGAGGAAGTACACTGCTGAGGGGAGCAGCAGGGAGACAGGAGAGGTCTGCCAGGCCATGTGGGTCATCTCCCTGGCCGATATCAAACTCTACCCGAAACAGCTGTGTGCTGTAAACCACCTAGCTTTACAGTGCTGTGCTTTAATTCGCTGCACCATCAGGGAGGGCCCTCTTTTCCCATTTTTAAAATAGTTATTTCATGTTTTGTTGTTAAGTTTAGAAGTTCCTTGTATTTTTTAAATATCAACCCTTTCATTAGATATATAATTTGCAAATAGTTTCTCCCATTCTGTAGGTTATGTTTTCCACTCTTTTGTTAGTTTCCTTCGATGTGAAGCAGTTTTTATATTTGATATAGGGGCTCCCTGGTGGCCTAGGGGTTGACTCTCATACTACCACCACAACCTGAATTTGATCCCCAGCCAGAGAACTAACACACAAATGGGTACAGCAGACCTCTCCTGGTCTCACTTGCTGTTTCCCCTTAGCAGTGTATTTTAGTAAATACACCTGTAATGTTCCACATTTTGTCTCTGGTGAATCTTCTCACACCCCTATCTCTGGCCTACCCCTCAGTTCTTGTGTGTGTAAATAAACAAAATCTTTCATAGTTCTGAGTTTAAACCTGTTGTGTCACCAGGGAGGGCACGATGTAGAGTTTACTTTGAAAAACTTGTATGCATACATCCATGTATGTACACATGCTGGTATGATCGCTATTATGTATCAAAACATATAAAACATGATCTATAATACATTCTATGAAAGCAATGAACTTGATGACGACCTGGAGTGCAGGAAAGAAAATACCTTACGATGGCCATACAGGTTAGTGGTTAAGAGTGCTATGTTTGGCCTTTTTCTTGGCTGTACTACTCAGGGACTTTGTTTTGGTTTCCTCATCTGGAAAATGTAGCTAACAAGCTTCTGTCTTCCTCAAAGGATGTAAAGATTACCTGCAATAATCCGAATAAGTGATCAATACAGCGCTGTGCATACAGTAAATCCCATAAAGACAAATGACTACTATTGTTTTGCCAACGTGTCAAAGAAAAGAGGACGGATCAACATGCATTTTCAGAATAATGTTAAAATGCGTTACTAGCACTTTCAGGTCAATGGGACTGAATAGGACCCCCTTGAAAAAGGTGGTCTATGACGTAGACCGCCTTAGCAACAGGCCCCCAAAGAAGGTGAATCTTCGTAGCCAATAACAGTCCGCGCTGCGGAGCAGTTAGCCAATGAATGACGGCAACGGGAAGAGGGAGGACGCGCCAATTCTCCTGCCTAAGCCTCGGCCCAACAAAATGGCGGCTGCGGCGGCGTCGCTTTGTTTCCGCGGCTCCTGCGGCTGTGGCAGTGGTATCGGCCTTTGAGCTGTGCGGAGGATTCAACACCAACTCTAGTGACGGCTGCGAGCCCAGTACATTTCTAGCGTAACCCGGCGCCGGGGAGGGCAGAGCGGCGTCCTACGGTAGCTGAAGCCGACAAGGCGTTGAAAGCGAAAACATGACTGCTGAGCCCATGAGGTAAAACACGGGTCTCAGCGTCCTGGGCCTACACTACTTCTGAGTCGGGCATTTGGGAAGGTTTATCGTGTGGGGTAGGTCTGTGCGTGGCTTGGCGGAGAGAGGTATCGCTTTCTCTTTAGGTGAGAAGGGTTTCGGGGTTTCGCTGTAGGCTTCAAGCGGGAGTGGGGGTGGGGGGGGCGCGGCCTGGCGTGTTGGGTGCTTTTCCCAGCCTCCCCTGACCGGTGAAGCCCGGTTGGCCTCCTGTGTTTATTCTTTGGTGCCTGTGGATTGCGACCCCGAAGTCGGAGGCGGTCTTTGATATCCCGGCAGTTCTTCCTAATCTTTGGGCCTAGAAGCTGCGTGGGGAAGAAGGGGGGCCGGGGGGGAGGGGGGAGGGGCGGGCGGATGTGAGATCCTGGGACGACTTGGTGGCGTTCAGACTGCTGGAGGCAGGGAAGTACCCCGACCTTGCGGAATTTTTCTTTCCTGCAGCCCCTGGAGATGAGCCTTTCTCTAAGGGGAGCGGGTGGGTCTTGCCAGGTATTTACATTCCTTCTCTACTCCAGATCTTGAAGGGTATCCTTGGATTTACCGCTAGGCAAGGGGATTTACTTCCAGAGGACTCCGGTACACTACTTTTTGTCAAGTCCAGCTTTAAAGGGTGGTAAGGCAGACCTCAAATATTTCTTCACTTTTGGGCAGATTTCGAGGGAACGTAACTAGACCCTATTTTGTTTATCATGCCATGAGGGATGGGGAGCAGGTGGACATGGGTTTGATGGGAAGTAAGATTTATTGTGCGAGAGGGAAGCTGTACCTGGCAGGTCGCCTCTAGCACAAGCCCATTTATTAAGTTGACTGTTTTTCTCCTGTGTTTTTTTATTTGCCGCCTGACGGTGTCTGAAACCATTATGGGCTGTTAATATGAAAGGTATACCACGTTTACATCAGGGACTGGCATTTCAGGCAGCTTGACATTTGACTTAGCATTCCTTGTTGTAAATTAAGTAAATTTTCCTACCCTGAGGTGCATCTTTGGTGCCTGGTGGTCAAATAAAGAGAATTATAGAGAGCACGGACCAGAATTGCATTCTAAGTTGGCAGAATGTGCCTTGGAGTAACTATTAAGATGATACACGTTGCTAGAGCGCTTAAGCTAGCCTGTAGAGTATGGGAAAGCCTATCATACTTACATTATGCCCATTTTTCTGCATTAACAAACGATAGATAGATGTTTTCCTTCCCTTTCAGAAAAAAGACCACATTGGTTCTTAGATAGTAGATCCGTAATTGTGTGAAAATTGTGGCCTTGGTTTCTGAATTTGTGTTAATTGGCCCAGCTGCAAAAAAACTTTTATAGGGTATTCACCACCCAAGCAGTAACAAGTACAGCTAGTTGGTGCAACTATTAGCAGGTGCTCATGTTCCCATACATGAAGAGTGTACCTGATACCTGATAGTTAAATATTGCCTCTAGATTTCGTTAAATCTCATGAAGTCTACATTTAAAATTATGGGTTGGTGAAAAACTTGAACAAAACCATGAGTTGAATTTGGTTTCTCTCCTTTCTTTAGGCTGAATAAGTTAGTTGTACACAGAATTTCCAATGGAATTACTCATTTTAGGCCAGAGCCAGTTTTTCTGATGGGTGGTGTACTTTTGTAGAGCTTGGTGGTAAGAGTTACTAATCATAATTAAAGTTGAGTGCTCATTATTGATCTTTATCTTATAACCTGGATTAATTTTTAGAACAACCCTGTGTATGTGGTAGAAACTTGGTATTCCCCATTTTATAGATGAGGAAACTGAGGCACCAAGATCTCAGTTAACTTGATCAAAGTTATACAGCTTGCAGTAGATGCAGTCCTTGACTGGGATATAGGCCAGAGGTGTGGAGGGTGAGAGGGTTCATCAGAGACAGACTAGGGAGCAGAACAGGTGGATGGACTGAAATACATTGCTGAGGGGGAGCAGCTGGTGGATCTGGAGAAGTCTGCCACACCATGTGGGTCACCTCCCTGGCCAGGGATGGAACTGTGGCTACAGTGGCTATGGATAGCTTCAAAGTGCTGTGCTTTAAAAACCCTTGCACCACCAAGGAGGGCCCTAGAGTTTATATTCTTAACCACAAGTCTTCAAGCTGCCAGATCTAACTTGATCATGGCCATTTTAATTTAGCCCAAGTATTACAAAGGAAAAAGTTCATGTTAATTATTATTATGGTCATTTGTTGTGGGCTTTATAAAATTAAAAAAAATATTTTTGTGTAGAACTGGAGTGCAGGCTGGGTGATGGGGGGGATGAGTGAAAGTGCCAGGGGATCTGCCAGAGAAGGTGGGGCGCAGAATAGGCAGATTCTCTGAAATACACTGCTGAGGGGAGCAGCAGCCAAACAGGAGAGGTCTAGGGGTCTCCTGTGCCATATGTGGGTTAGCTCCCTGACCACAGATCGAACTCAAGTTGTAGGGGTGATAACACACCTAGGCCACCAGGGAGGCTCTGTTGTTAGTCTTTTGAGTTTGTAGCTGTTTATAGTATCTTGCTGTTTTGGCCCAGATCAGATAGTAAGATAACTGAAATATTTAATTTCGGAGCCTTAAGTTATGTGAAAAATCCCTTCTAAGGAACCATATAAATGTAAGAAAAAATTAAAAAATTTTGATGCTCTGACTATGTACTAATAAAGAGCTCCAAGTCAGTGTTCAGAACTGTCTTGAGCTGGTATCATTCATTTCAAGCCATGATTATAGTTAAAGGATAATCTGGCAGGTAATGCTTGAGTTGAATCATTCTTTACTCTCTCCTAATGTGAGGCATGGATATTATGAGCAATTCTAAATATTATTTATCCTGTTGCACAAAAGAGATTTTTTCTTTTATTCTCTAGCACTTAAAAATAGGAACAAAGATTAATTCTAGTATTTATAATATTTCCTAGGAATCTGTGGTGAAAAGACTAAACAAATTACCAAAAAATAATTAATGGCCTAACTAATCAGCCCTGAAAAAATCAGAAGGTTAGTCTTGTTTTGTTATTATTTAAACATTTTTGTTTTGTTATAAATAGGATTGGTTGTTTCTTAATATTTTTGGCTTTATGAAAGAACAACCTTTGGTTGACAGATAAACTTGACAGTTGACCTTTGAACAGCACTGCATGGTTCCATTTACTCCCGGATATTTTTCTCTCAGAAAAATTTTTATTTGGTAATAAAGAGATTCAACTAACTGTGATGTCTGTACAATCCATTGATGTGGAACCTGGCGGGTACAGAGAGGGGCCTAAATTATATGCAGATTTTTACTGAGGAGATTTGGGTGGCACTCTGACTTCCAGGTAGTTCAAGGGTCAGCTGTAATTTATTTTCATATAAAGAACTTGGAGATTTGATTTGACTTGTCATTCTAATCTTTAATGACTACTTGAAAAGCTGACAGCAGTATAACTTGTTATTGTTACTAAATTTAAAAAAGGTAGACGTCTAAATTGAGAGGTGTTGGGAAAATGTCTTGGAAAGTTACTTTAGGTAGTAGTTAACAATTGCAAACTAAGCTGATTTTTGAAAAATATCTAATACGTTTACATTTCATTATGTGGAAAACATTGAGATAGGCTTGGGGAGGGAGAGTACATACAACATTTTTGAAGAGATTTTGAAAGCATTTCAATACCAGATGTTTGATTACATTATGCTTGGAGTGAAAAAAAACCTTGGTGACTTTAATTTTGATCAGGCCAGTTCTTATTATTGTCAACTCTTAGTACATATGTGACTAGTTATATTTTTCTAGAGATAAGATAAATGTAATTCTTAAAAAGGAATTTTAATATAAATGTAGGTATGTGTAATAAGTCTTTTTCTGTAAGGAACTATGTATTTATGTGCTCTTTTGGAGTGGATACATTTATGTGTTGGGTGACAGGATATGGGCAATCCTTGGATTTGTATGAAGTCTTTTCTTCCAGACCTTAAATGTTCTGTTGGACATTGGCAGAAGCTGTTCAGATCATTTCAGCCTTTGTATTTTCCTTCAGGGACAATAAAAGGAATGTTTTAAATAGGATCTCTGTATTTGTATCCTAATGCTTGTCTGGTTGACTGGTTTGATAGCTCACCTTCAAGATGTTTAACCTCCATTTCTCCACAGGTGAAATGGGAATAAGTTTAATGGATATTGATAAAGTCTGCAGTTGTTCTGGAGGAGGTAACATAGCTATAACAGCGGTTCTTAAAAGACAATAAACTAAAGCCCTGGGGTTGCTGTTAATTGTTAATTTTTAAAGTGTTTTAAGAGTGTGAGGAGGTCTGAACTTTGAGAACTGCTAATGTAGAGAAATGAACACTGAATTCTGTGCCAAGTCTAGGTTTTCTAGTTACAGCTTTTGTTGCTTAACTCATTGTATGACTTTGGACAAATCATTCTTTTTAATTCTCTGCTTTGTCATTTGCAGAATAAACTTGTACTAGATGTTCTAGTGATATAAAGCTTTTTTTTTTTTAAATCCCACTTATATGAGTGTTAAACATTTAAAATTTTACTTGCCTTTTGGGGCATAGGGCGAAGGAAGGATAGTGATAAACGTATGGAAATTAATATACTGAAACCCTAATTAAATGAAGACAGGAAGCTTGAAGAAGAGTATCCATGCATTGCTGGACCTAATATGCCCCATGTCTCTCTCTTCCCCAGCCATAGAAAGAAGGAGATCCACGGGGACTATATAGGGGGTTGCTGGCTTTGATTCAAGAAGTGCGTGTGAGTCTCATAAGGAGACAGCCACTTTCCAAATGGACTTTTTTTTGTTTCTAAGTGAACCCATTTTGTTGGTGAAATAACGGATTTTTGTTTGAGGTCAACAGTAGTAGTTTCTTTATTCAATATATTTGTTTAGTCTTAAAACTTACACTGTTGTAGCTAATATAATGTGTCATAGAAGCACACGTGTTTGTGCAAACATTTAATAGAAAGGAAAGACTTTGCTGGAAAGCTTGTTAATATCCACTGTGCTATATAT